CCCGGGCCCCACAGGGACTCGAGATGGCGTGGAGCCGCCCAGAGAGGCGCCGGGTCGCCGCCAGCCATCCTCACGACGGTCTGCGCCGGCGTGACGTCATTCCCGGCGACGACGCCGGGACGTTCGTGGCGCGTCGACGTCACTGTCGGCGACGGCGGCGCGGTCTGGTGACGCCAGGACGTCGACGCGGGTCCTCGCGCCGCTCCCGTGAGGAACGCGGACGTCGGCTGCGCACACCCGGAGCGCAGACTTGCTCGCCAGCCCGGCGCCCGTGGGGTGGGCCTCCCTCCGTCCGTCCTCTGCCCGGGCTCTGAGACCGCGCGGGGAGGCCTGCGGGACGCCGTGTACACGCCCGCGCCGCGCGTCTCGACGCGGTACGTCGCCGGCGCCGCTGCTTCGCGTCATGACTTCCGGGAGCCGCGGCCGCCATCTTGCTCGCGCGGAAGAGCCGCGGCTGGGTGGGAGCCCGGAGCCGGAGGGTGCGGACGGTGAGGCCACCGCCATGCCGTCGTCGCCGCTGCGGGTGGCGGTGGTCTGCTCGAGCAACCAGAACCGGAGCATGGAGGCGCACAACATCCTCAGGTAGGTGGGCCTCCGCCCTGGCCCAGCGCGCCCTGCCGACAGGTCGTCTCTCCGGCCCCGACCTGCCCTCCAGACCCAGGCCCGAGCCCTCGGGCGGAGGCGGCCTCTGCCCTCCCCGGCCCCCGAAGGAAGCCCGAGGGGCTGCCTGGTCCGGGCTCATGAGCTCCGGGGGTCGAGCGCCGCGAGGACTGGGCAGGGCTCGGTCGGCCGCGCGCTGCCCCCACGTGGGCTTAGAATCCCGGGAAAACCAGGTTCTCAGCTAAGACGTTCCCGCGCCTCCGGAACCTCAGAGCTCCTGGTAAACCCGAAAGGCGGGTGCTCTGCGCGTCCACGCTGCACGCCTGCCCGTGCACCTGGGAAGAGTGGGCCTGACAAGAGCCTTTTTAGAGTCTGGGAGACCCCAGTGTCCGCCGACTGCCTCCAGGGCGTGTCCTCATTTATAAAACCTGCACGACGTAACCTCAGGACAGGAAGAGGCTTTAAGAAAACAAGGGGAAATGGCCTATTTTGTTAAGTTCGTGAATCCGTGGGCTTGCTCCCGTCCACATTTCCAAGTCTCGTAAAAATTGCTCCCAACCCCCTTGAAAGCCTCCAGGCGGTAGTTTCTGGACTGCAGTCGAGTTGGAGCTTCGAGTGTCTATTTCAGGAGCAGCTCCTCCCTCGGGACCCTGGTGTCGTATGCGTTTAGAAGTTTATTCCTGTTTGATACAGTTTTTTTTTCCTTCACCGCTTGCATTATTGTTAAAGTTTGGTATACACGTCAACATTGACAGTGAAACAAAGTTGGAACTGCCTTTTCTCCCAAAGTTCCTATATGTGGACGTGGAAGGACAGCAGTGCCTGCCTTTTTTTACCAGGCCGGCCTCAACGCTCCTGAGTAATTTGGGAAAAGTAGAGCCCCCCTCCCCCCCGGTTTTCTTACTGAAGCTGTATCGAGTGACCATGATCTGCTTGTAGGAGTTTGATTCGTCCCAACATCTACCACTCTGTCCACAGTATCGTTTTTTGGGTAGCATATGGTAGGCTTTGAGCCTAATAAACTCATGTGGAGGATATTCTTAAACTAAAACTTTTAAACTTAAGACTAGAAGTTCTCCAAAATTGCATTGTGTTGGGTCACATCCCCAAACTGCATTTATGCCTTCAGTCGTTAGAAGTTTGGTAAATTTAAGCACAAGAATGCAGCGTTCACACTTCTGGAAAATCACTCAAGGAAAACGAAGTTTAATACCTTTAATTAGAATAACAGGTGCTGTGGAGACCCTGTCCTTCCTCCTGCTGGTTCTGGAAGGTGATCCTTAGTTTAAGTCCTTCTGTTATAAGTATTTGCATAACAAAGTTGGGGTGAAATCTTAGGAAAGGAAAACTTAAATTATCTGCAACTTTGTTAGTGAAATCGGTTTCAAAGTCATGGGTATCTGATTCTCTAGGACATTCACTACAAGATGACAAGTCCTTGCTCTGGCCCAGTAGCTCAGTTGGTTACAGCGTTGTCCTGATACACCAAGGTTGCTGGTTTGATCCCGCGTCAGGGCACATACAAGAATCACCGAATGAATGTATAAATAAGTGGAACAACAAACCAATTTGAGCCCCCCCTTTCTGCTCCCCCCCCCCTAAAATCAATAAATAAAAATTTTTTTAAAAAAGATAGCAAGTCCTTTAGATTTCATAGTGGTGGGAGCTAGCACAGCATTGGGCCTCCTGTGGAAAGGGAGGCGAAAAGAGCCAGGGTAGGAATTATTTTGTGTGCTTTTACCGGGTTTATTACTATCTTTCAAATTTGCTCATCAAAAGGGCAGACTCAGAATGCGGATAAAGGAAGTACATTTAGGATAGCATGTTACTGATACAGTGACTGAGGTTATTTTAACAGACATGCATCTTTAACATTTATAATGCCTATTTTGGGGGATGTTTTCTCCTTTGTTAAAATAGTAGTCTTTGCTTGTTTTGAAATTCTCACTGTAGGAAATACAGAAGATGAAGATCACTCAAAATGCCATTTTCCTGTGTCTAATACCCACACTTAAGGGAGATCAAAGTGAAGCTCCAGAACCTTTTCACGTCATGTCGTGAACATAGTCTGACTTCAGTACTCACACTTTTTTTTTTTAGTTGATTTGAGAGATACAGCAATTTGTTGTTCCACGTATTTACAAATTCATTGGTTGCTTCTTGTATATGCCCTGACGGAGGATCGAACCCAAAACCTTGGCGTATCTGAACTATACTCCAACCAACGGAGCTACCCCACCAGGGCCACTTTGGTTTTGATATATTGAATTTGAACACAGTGTTCCTGTGGAGTGACGGCCAGTGGTTGGGGATCCTGGGCAGGGTGACTTGTAGCCAGTCCCCCAATAATACACATTTGGGTTTTCTATTTTTCAGTCTTATAGTGTCAGTATCCTTGTGCCATATAAATGCCTGCACGCTTTTCCTGGCATTTCCTTGACATAAGTTCCTAGAGGTGGAATTACTGAGTCAAAGGTAGACATGTTTTATATTTTCATACATTTTTTTCCAGACTGCCTTCCAGTAAATATCTATTTATAAAATTCTCATTTCCTCACAATTTTTTCATGCTACTAGGGCAAAAAAATGGATCTCACCTTCCTTTAGTTTTAAAATTGCTGTGAGATTGAACAGTTTTTCATGTCCTTTTCAGTGTTGAAAAACTACTTATGGCTTTATGTATTTGGATTTTTTATAGAGTTTAAAAGCATCTTTAAGAAATTTATATCAAGGTTTTCTGTTACTATTAGGAGAGCTTATGAAAGTCAGATTTAGAGCATAAAAAAGTGGTTTGGCCTGGCCGGGCGTGGCTCAGCAGTTGAGCATCAACCTATGATCCAGGAGATCAAGGTTCAATTCCCAGTCAGGGCACATGCCGGGATTTCAGACTTGATCCCCAGCAGGGGGCGTGCAGGGGGCTGCCGATCAATGACTCATCATTGATGTTTCTATCTCTCCCTCTCCCTTTCTCTGAAATCAATATAGACATATTTTTTTAAAAAGAAGTGTCACCTACGCTGTCACCCTGAACCTTAAAAAAAGAAAAGTGGTTTGGTAAGTGAAAAAAGGCAAGAAAACTGTGCAGTTTGGTTACAAGTAGAAAAAAGTATGCATAGGAAAACTTCTGAAATGAAATATCAAAAGGGATGCAGTTAACTGAACACGCACTGTAGGTACTTTATCAGTGAAGCCCTATTTTATTTTATTTTCGTCCTGTTGAAAATCAGCTTGGGCTGTGTTTTTCTGACAAGTTGAATACAAGTGATGATAAATGTTGGCACTTTCTAGAGCTAGTCAGAATGTTCCCTGGGGTGGTCGTCGTTTGATCTTTTGAGACTAAATTTTTCAAGTGCCAGTCCTGGGAGGCCTTTAGGTTTTTAAGGGTGTTGGAAGACTTGTATGTTCTTTGTACTCTGTGGATTAAGATTTCCCTTTAGAGCCAATTATTTATTTTGTTCCAAACGCCTCCTAGATGTTAAGGGACATGTTGATTTTTGGAAGCTACATTTTCAATTGTAGAATTGAAAACAAATTTTAAAGACAGACTTCTATAAGTTGCTGGGCTGAGTCCTCAGTGTTCTCAATCACAAGTTCCTGGCTGTGAGGTTTTAGGAAGATGAACAGAGGCTACAAACATGGGAGAAACAGTGTAGTTAGTCTGTTGAGCTCCTCTGTAGCAGGTGCTTTCCCAGCCCCATCTGGTTGCATCTGGACAGCTTTTAGCTGTCCACACTCACACAAATGAGACACTGCCCAGAGCAAGAAGCCCAGCTGATGAGTGACACTAGGGGCTCTGTTCGTGGTAGGCGAGTAACAGAACCAAGACTCAAGATGAGGAAAAACATGAGCTGAAGGGTGTTGGGGGGGGCCACAGTCAACCGAGGCCCTGTGGTTCTTCAATTTGGGGCCAATTCTTGATGTGACCAGAGCATGTGGGCCCCAAGCCACATTGGTGGAGAGGTGCTGGGACCTCCTACCAGATGGGACATGTGTCAGGGCTGCCTGAGGTTGTGTGGTCACACACCAGACATAGGATGCTCCCAGTCAAGGTGCTAAACAACTCTGGTCTGAACACATTTCCAGAAGCTTCTTACCAGGGAGGGTCAGCTGGGCCCTGTGACCTCTGGCTGCATCTTTGATATCTCTTCTGGGAAAGTTTGAAAGTTGAAATGATGGAAGGGGAATGGGTCTGAGATTGAGTCCTGAGAATGGCAGAGGACAACACTCACCTTTTGGGTTCTGAGGGACTGCATGGTTTTTGTCCTTAGAAGCAGGACTAAGGGTGGAGAGTTGAACATTGAGACAAACCCCGGGCAGACCAGGCATGGGAACGGCTCTAGCAGCTGAACCGTTCTTCCATGCGTTAGGGTCTTCTCTGGCCTTCTGTTACAGGTGAGAACAGAAGGAGCCCTGAGCAGGTACAGCAGATTAGTGAGTCCTTGTCTAGGACTGCCCTGTGTGGGTACTGGAAGGAAGCACATTGATGGTTGTGGTGCTGGTGCTGTGTGGAGGGGGGCCCCACAGTGGCCAGCAGAGCAAGGTGAGAAGCCAGGGTCGAGGAATGGGGCTGGAGGAAGGACAGCTAAGCAGGGTGCCAACTGGGCAGCCTAAAAGGCAGGTTTGTCACAAATTCAAGGGACAGATCTGCTTAGAAGCCACTGGGTTTCATTCTTGGCCTTGTCGGAGCGTAAGAATAAAATAAATCCTAAAAAATGTTTATTGAAATGTATTTAGGGCCCACAATTTGCTAGTGAGAACATAAATTTTTTTGGACTCTTTACATTTCAGAAGTTTGTCTTCCCAGTCCTGGCCATTTCACAGTGAAATTACAGGCAGGCATTTAGGTGTGATATCTCGAGAGCTGTTGATTTGTGTCCTGTGAGCATGAGGTCACATAGCTAGAGACCAGGCTGAAGACTGGTGACTTACCTGCAGTGGAGGAGATGTGGTGGTGAGTGCACTGTCCTCGCAGGCTGTGCTCTCAGGAGGTCGGCAGTGGGTCAGGGGCGTCAGTCTCAGCCAGAGCAGTGCTTTACAGGAGGTGAGTGCTCACACCACAGAAAGCAGAAAGATGCCACCTTCCTACAGTGCTTCCGGGTGTTCATGTTAACGTCAGTCTTTTCCCTTTAGTTGTTGGATAACAGTGGAAACAATTCTATGCCCCGGCATTGAACATTTTCTTTGATTGGTTCTCTTTCTTTCTTTTCCTTCCTTCCTTCCTTCCTTCCTTCCTTCCTTCCTTCCTTCCTTCCTTCCTTCCTG